TCTCTCTCTCTCTCTCTCTCTCTCTCTCTCTCTTTCTCTCTTTCTCTCTTTCTCTCTTTCCCTCTCTGATGAATCTAAGTCTAACGGCGTCGGTGGTGTAACTGTAAGGCATTTTGCAGTCGCACGCAGGAGACCGTAGTTCGATTCCCGAGGAGGAAGAACTTTTGTCGAGTATCTGGGTCTTTCCCGTGAGATATTGTATTTCTTTCAGCCCTGCATCGCCCTGGCAAACAATGTTGGAAGCCGGCCTCCTAAATGTTTTCAACTGTGTTGAAGGAGGCGTAAAAGCACCTACATTTTAAAAAATCATTATATCTGCATGTATTTTCTGTTGGCTTGTTTGCTCCCATAGTTGTTTATTTCTTATGGAGTCAGGCCAATGACTTTTCACAATTTTTCTTAAGCTCCCTGAGTAAGATGCTGACCCTACCCCTGCCTCGTTTGCCTTAAATGTTTTTCCAGTGAGAGCTAAATTATATTCCTAATCTGTAACGCCAGGGGAGAAGACTGACTTGTTTGACAGGGTAATCAAAGTGACACGGGACCTGATAGGGCCTGGGCTGAACGTACAGGCCTGGAGATATCGGACAAGAATCTTACTCAAAGCAGCAACACTGAGTTGAGGATGAAAACAAATCCTGAATTCATATTGTATGTTCAACCGCCAAAATAATCGGGAAAGTATCTCATTAAATATATTTATTTCAATTAACATTAAATTAATTTAACTTTAAATGTGAATACACAACACACAAAGCAAAGAAGCAAAGATGTCAGTACTACATGTTATACCAGTGAGTCTAAAATCTTTGGTAGAACATGACAATTATAATTTTTTTTATTTCACATTTGGCTGTTTTTGTCTAGTTTTTCGAGGCCAGGAGCCGGTGTCATAATCGAGGTCACGATCTGATTATAGTACGGTAAAAAGTCGAGGAAAAAAAACCAAGCACTCGCAGCTAGGCCAGGGCAAGATCGACGGCAAAAGACTCGAGGCCTCGATTCCAAAACTAAAAAAGAATCGTGGAATCGAGTCCGATTTTCGAGTTTAGAAGCTGCTTCAAGTGGGCCTGGCTGTTTAGAGGCCATGACTTGAACACTGCTAAAAATAGCTTTTAAACTCGAAAATCGAGTCTCGAGTTTGACCCTATTTGACAGACATGGCTGGCAAAGCCTGCGCGCGTGCCAAGACAAGTTGGCTTTCACACATTTGTGTGTGTGTGTGTGTGTGTGTGTGTGTGTGTGTGTGTGTGTGTGTGTTGTAAGTAGGCTTGTAGGGTTGCCTCCCTTCTATAACTCTTGCCAATGCGTGGGGACAGTCTTCTTCTCTCTTGCATCCTTTGCTTCCTCATATGTCACAGCATTCTTTGATGACAAATGTTTTGTTATTGTCTACGTTGTGTTATTGTATGCCAAAACATTTTTACGAATCATACAAACAACAGTACTGTGTTTTCCGGCTTATAAAAAGAGTCCCAAGCCAAAGATCGACGTCCAGACATGGTGACTCATTGATATCAACTCAAAACACACAATATGATTTACAAAAGAATACGTGTACAGTGAAAATGAAAGTGCAGTGAAATTCAATAGCAAGCGTTCAAGACAAAAGAAAGAGAAAAAGGAAGTGAATGATTTAATTTAATTTGGGATGGGCGGGCGTGGGGCAACAAGATTCAAAGTAGCACTTGCCTATGTGCAGCGTGGTTTCGTACTGGGCTACACGATAGACACGACAAGTAGGCCTAGGCCTAGTTTAGCATTCACTCATAGCGGGGAAGAGGAAGGTGGGGTGGGGTGGGGTTGGGGTTGCGAGAGATTAGGCCCCTACCGCACTAGGCCTACAACAGTTAGTCCCGGGACGGACCTGTCTGATGTTTCAAACCTTTGAACTGGAGTGGTATGTACCGCACCTATTATTGGGAAGTGATATTTTTGTTGCATTGAGTCCCGAAAAGTTGTGAATTGCTACAACATCGGTGGAACAGGATGACCTAATACTGTTTTCTCTTTCTCTTTTGTCTAATACGAAGAAACAGAGCACAGGCACATGTAACCTCGATTTATCCACCTTAAAGACACAGTCCTGAATCTACCTGCATCTATGTCTAGTGCACGCCAAATTCAAAGAGTGAAAAAAAACAACACAAGTAAACAAAATTCACAAAACATAATTTAACTTGGTAATCGGGCATTAAATTGCGTTCTCCGCGTAATTTTTTTTAATTTTGGGTCGCTGATCACAAAAATCTGATTATTTCTTAAATTTGGCCAATATTTAAGAAGTTTTTGGAATGCATTTTTAACTCCGCCTAGGCCAACATCAAAGAAGCCGCCTTATGCACCGGATCAGCCCTGTCCTGGTGCGGTGTCTATTTTGAAGCGAAAACTCGACTGTGGGGTGGGACAGCCCTTGGCCTATCCCACGACAGGACTGTAATAGTGTGGTAGACATTTAGATTCTTGCCTCGATTCTCGGAGTCTTCGCTAGGAACAAGGCTAAAAAAAAAAAGGAGACGGGAGGCATCGACCCTGGGCGGACTCGAAGCTTTGAGTCAGTGAACAAGATCGAGTCTTTGAGTCCTCATTTGGACTCGAAAGAATCGATCCCAGAGTCGATCTTGTCCTAGCCTAGCCCATAGACTGATCTCACCTCAACCGCCAGGTACCCGTTGCCCTCCTCACGGGTCGCTCCTCACGGGTCGCACCTCACGATCAACGAGGCGCCCACTCTTTGAGATAGGTGACCTCTAGTTTTGCGCAGCACATGAGATCAGTGATGAAAAAAAAAGATAGAAGAAGGGCATGAGAAGGCAGAAGAAGAGGAAGATACACAAAAGAAAATGCCGCAATAAGGAAGGTTGGGGGGGGCGCTACACCTGCGCAAGCTGTCTGGCTTATTAGAGGATCAAATTTTACCAAATTCCACACACATAACAAGCATATTCAGGAGTCTTAAATCTGAAATCAAATCTGAGAAAAAAAAGTTTCGTTTCCACGGATACGACGGTCGTATTGAATTTTGTTGACATGTCTTACGTAATGAATACCGCACTTATTTTTCGTGGAAATAGAATGGTTTTTTTGCACGCATGTTAGCTAACAATAGATCTACAAATTTATGTGATGAATCTTTCCCAAACGAATTAAACACTGTTTAACGAATTTTTCCTGAGGTAGTATTCAAGTTTCCAAAAAATCCGTGAAAATCCACACTCGAGACACCACCAACAAAAATCTATTTCATATATATATAAAATTCAACATACATTTTTTTTTTTTTTGGGGGGGGGGGTATTATTTCTTCTTCAATCTGTGAAAATGTCATAAAGATTGGATGAAAAATGGTGGAGTTATTCAAAAGATTAAAAGAAAAAAACGCGTTTTGAGAAAACGTGGAATAAAGAAAAATATATGATTGACTTTATTTGGAAATGGTGGTGACAAACATGGCTGGTATGGGTCGAAATAAGGCTTTAGAAGGGTTCTTATGAGATGAAATAGTTGTAGGAAAGGCTGTATTCGAGGCGGTATCACGAAGTTATGAGAATGAAAATAAATCTTGCTTAATTTTATAATATTGTAAGTTCACCCGCCAAAACAATCGAGAAAAGAATATCTGATTAAATATTTATTGAAACTGAGGGCAAAAATGCTATTATAACTTCTTAACGTGCGGTAAGAACAATGGCGTCAAGGTTCCTTGACATTGACAGTAAATGTAACTAAAGATGCCAATATACAAACATAAGGTAAAGAAGTAGAAATGACAATACACATGTACTCGTACTTCAAACGGATTACCTACTTTGTTTCAAGTTTGGCTGTGTTTATCTAGCCTTTCGAGGCCAAAAGCCGATGTCACAGTCAAGCGGTAAAAATATCGATGAAAAAAACCCCCGAACACTCCACCAACCATGGGGGTAGTTGAAGCTAGCCCCCCTCACCTTTTGTGATAGACTCAGTCTAATTGTTGGCTTACATAATCAGTGCTTGTGGCTGCTTACAATAGGTGTCCCGAAAGGGGTGAACATGGTAATTATGTAATTATGCGGCAATGTAACAGTTTCGAGAGCCAAGTGTCAGGTCATATTGTGCACACTGCTCATTGGCGATTAAAGTCGATTGAAATCAGCTTACTTGTCCGAAGTCTGCGGGGGAATTTGACAGCGACGGTGTCACCAAATTGAGGAAGGGAATCAGTGATTATTTGATTATGCAGACGCTTCTCCCATCATACAAAGGCTCGTCCTACTGATGCCAGCAGTTGTGAGTAAGTCTAATTACTGGATCTTTCCGTCATTTCGTACTTTAATTTCCCCTCGTCTTCTCAGTCAGGGGGAACCAAATGCCCGTGTGTAATTTGCTCATTAAAAGAAAAGTAAAATGTAAGCAAATCGTTACAATACGCGACCCCCCCCCCCACCAGTACCAGATATAAAAACGGGCAGTGCAATCTGTCCCCGTGGTTTTATGCACCTCGCATAATTTAGCAAAATTTTATGACATTTTTGGGCTCAGTTTACATAATTTCAGAATTTTTCTCGCATAAAACTACGGGGACAGTATAATAAAACAAATTATATGCTATCTTTGGTGGATCAACTAACAACGTGGCTGTCTTTTTTTGGTCCAGAAAAAATCTTAAAACAAGCTGATAATTAACGTTGAAAAGATTGGGGATTATTCAGATCGACGGGAAAGATGTTAGCTCTTTGTGTTGTACAAAGAGGGAGGCAAGCAATACAAGTGGGAGAAACCAACGCCAACAGAATATTGATGGTAAATTATGATGATAATAATATATTCCGCATAAAGATGTAGTGGGGCTTTAAAAAAATTTAAAATACGCAGCTACTACCTGAGAACAGAAACAATTATCGAGAGAAAGGCAATATATCTTCTCCAGTTCTTCAACGATTACTTAAGAGATTGTTATACTGTAAATTTTAGAGACTGTATACGCTGCTAGGTTGTTTTCAAAGACAGGAACAGGTCATATTTTATCCATCTTCATCTGTTTTCTGGGCCTATTTGAACGCCTAGCGACTCATAAGTCCAACCTCAACATGTCGAGTACTGAGAAAGACGGAATGTTTGTCGTGACGCCATTTGTCAACGCCACCCACGACCAGACGTTCAGAGGGTCCTTTGGTCCCGCGACGTCACCTCCTGTGAGGTATTTCGTCATCACTGACCTACTTCTCATCATCAAAATAATCCGCGCCGTCTCCTACGCCATCACCACCTTCGGCATCCTCAGCAACATCTGCAACATCATCGTCTTCGTGGGACTCGGCGTGCTAGAAACGGCAACGTCCCTCACACTGTTCGCCCTGTCCATCTCCGATCTCTCGTTCCTCCTTATTCTGCTCATGTACTGGACCCTCCTGTTTCTCGTCAACCTCGGCGTGACGCAGACCGTCGAGGCAGTCTCAGTGGAAGATTTGGCGTACCAGTTCTTGTTCTATTTCCGAATGGTGTACACGTTATCGGAACTGTTCACTGTTTATCTCGCCGTGCAAAAATGCTGCTGCGTGGCTTTGCCTTTTCATTTCAAACTGATCTTCACTCCTGCCAAAGCTCTGGCAACCTTGTTCACTATGGTGATCGTTGTCTTTGCCTGTTATGCTCCTCTTTTCTTTACTACGGGGTTACAAGAGATTGTAGACATGACACAGAACACCACACGATATATTATTTGGTTTTCAGAAGACAGAGAGATTATCACAAACATCTTTCATAACATTGTGAACCTTCTGGTCCCCACAGCGGGTCAAGTTATAGTGGCAGTGTGTTTGGTTGTCTTAACTCGGAAACTACGAAAAACCACCAAGTTCCGACAAGCTTCCGAGAAATTTGAGTCAAAGGATGACGGATCAAAGGTCGGTGAGTCAAAGGTCGACGAGTCAAAGGTGAAAGGATCAAAGGTCAAGGACTCGAGCAAACTGTCCGGGAAAGAGTTACGTGCAGTGCAGTCTGTGGTCGTTCTTGTGGTCATGTTCATCGTCTGCAACCTGCCCACAGTACTCACTCAGTACGTCAGTTATATCGAGCCGGAGTTTAACGACTTCCGGTGGTACGGCACCATTTACGCCCTCGTGGGCCAGCTCAGGATGTGTCTCATGGTGTGCTGCTCGTCTTTCAACGTCTTTGTTTACTTCACGTTCAACTCCAGCTACAGACAGCAGGCGATACGCCGGCGGCGTCCAACACGCATGTGAATGAAGAGATCTTCAGAACAGACAAGTGGCTGAGAGATTAAAAAAAACAAAAACAAGTTCTTTAACTTTACACAGATTCCCAAAAAGAATATTTTATTACAAGAAAGGACTCTGACTTTTTCACAAGACAGAACTTTTTGACTTTGTGACAAGAAAGGGCTCTTTTGACTTTGTGACAAAAAAGGACTCTTTGACTTTATGACAAGAAAAGACTCTTTGGCTCTGTGACAATAATGGACTCTTTGACTTTGAGACAACAAAGGATTCTTTGGCTTTAAAAACGTAGCGGACTCATCATGTGCAAGCAACAGGAGACCAAATACAATTTTGGGGCAATATTGTTTACCGAATAAAATTTTAATACAAGCCTTTAAAAAAATTCCAGTATTTTTGCTATGGAAATTTATTGTACAAGGGTGTAATAAATACGCAATACGTTTATGTGCGTGAATAACACATGCTTTCATATGAATGTAGACAATCCACACACCGTTGCTGGTCGCCATTGTTGAAGCGAGTGTCCTGTTTTGAGTGTGTGTGTGTGTGTGTGTGTGTGTGTGTGTGTGTGTGTGCGTGTGTGTGTGTGTGTGTGTGTGTGTGTGTGTGTGTGTATGTGACCTGCAGGTCTCCAGAAATAAACCGAAACCATGCAACACTCGCTTACAGGTGAAGATATGGTGAAAAAGTAAGCGTACTAGTAAATAATATAGAACTACGTAAAGTCAAAAGTGCAATGCTTACTGTGAGTGTTGGTCGGTTTTTCCTGTCGTTGTGTGAGAAAGTGGGTAACGTAAAGAGAAAAATCTCTGGAATGCTAGATTTCGGCAGCAAAACATCAAGCGTGCAAACGAGACCACTGCAGCTGCAGAAGTCAGGCTCGTACGTGTTGGCGGGTAATTGCTCTTCAGGCTGCTCACACAGACCAGACGATATTATAATAAATATATAAAAGGATCGATCCTATTAAGAAGTTATTGTAGCGAAACTCGAGAATACATGTCGTACAAGATTTGTGATTGACACAAAAATATATCTTCTCTTTACCCTCTTCT